CATTACGTGAGGTTGCTGAGTTAGTTTTCCCAGGGGTAATCTTGTGGAGTCTGAGGGTTGATGTTCAGGTTAGGAGCCTAGCAGGCAGTACATGCAGTACTCCTACTGGAACTTGTGTATTAATCGTGTATGTAGGATAACAGTAACTCATAGCTAAGTTAACATTAACTCAAACTCTTTGTAGCCCAGCAGAAGCTGCGTGCAGTAGAAGCTGAATTCAGTCTCACTAAAAGAAACTGTAAACCTTGTGATGGTATAATGGGACTTACCTTTGCATCTTGGGTGCTGACAGTTTTGGGTAAGAGGTACTTTAAGGATCCTTGAGTATTTAGCACTGCTACTGTGGAAATGAGTAATGATACACCTCTGATACCTCAACTGCCTGACCACTTAGAAGAAACATTAGTAGTAGGACTAATAAGTAGGACTCTGATTAGTGCTGACTGCAGCTCAAATGGAACGCCGGTTATAGTATTGGATGAAGAGAGATTCACTTTGTCCCATACACAGTTGTATCAAAGAACTGAAAAGTCAAGGGGTGGTTGCATGATTCATTTACCCTTGAACAACCATGTCTGACTTGCGTGAAAGCCCAGTGGGGAGCAGAGATTAACTGTGTGCTGTTGAGGTTTGAAGATGAGATAACATCACCCTCCAGTGCGGTAGTACCAGGTGTGATAGAGCTACAGTATGAACTTGAAGCTGAGGGGAGCTGCACCACAGCCAGCCCGATTGGCAGCAGAGTTTCCTGAAGCAGGAAAATGCCAGGGAGGTGGTTGTGGTTTAATCCCAGCCAGCAACTAAATACCACACAGCTGCTTGTTCACCCTCCCTTCCCTGTGCCCTCCCCACCCCCCATCCAGTGGAGGAGGAGAATTGTAGGAAAAAACAAACTTGTGGGTTGAAATAAGAACACCTTAATAATTGCAAGTAAATTAAATAAAATTTGATACCAATAATATGTGTTGAAAATAATGGAAAGGAAATCAAATTATAGAACTGTTTATCACCTGCTGACCGAGAGAGAGGGAGGGTCCACCCCTGGCCCAACCTATACACTGAGCATGATGTTTCATGGAGTCAAATACTCCCTTGGCCAGTTTGGGACAGCCATCCTGACAGTGTTCCGTCCCAGCTTCCTTTAGTGAAGAAGCTGGGAACAGAGACACAGCACCAGAAACCAAGTAAGTCTTTGACTTGTTACAAACAGACCTTATCAACAGTGGAGAATACCAGCATTATCAATACTCTTCTCCATGCAAATCCAAAATACAGCCTCATACTACCCACTGTGGGGAAAAAAACAACTTGGTCCCAGGTGGTGTGTCCCTCAGGGGTCTGTCTTGGGACCACTACTGATTATTGTCTTCATCAGTGACAGACAGTGGGATCAAGTACACCTTTTGCAAGTTCGCAGATGACATCCAGCTGACTGGTGCAGTTGACATGCCCGAGTGATTGAATGCCATTCGGAGGGACCTGGACAAACTCAAGATGCTGACCCTTGTCAACCTCAAAAGGTGCAACAAGGCCAAGTGCAAGGTCCTGTATCTGAGTTGGGGAAACACCCGTTATCTGTACACACTTGGAATGACAGGATTGAGAGCAGCCCTGCTGAGAAGGACTTGGGGGTGCATGTGGATGGAAAGCTGGACGTGAGCTGGCAATGTGCGCTGGCAGCCCGGAAAGCCAACAGTATCCTGGGCTGTATCCAGAGAAGTGTGGCCAGCAGGCTGAAGGAGGAGATTTTGCCCCTCCACTCTCATGAGACCATACCTGCAGTACTGTGTCCAGCTCTGGCATCCTCAGCACGGGAAAAGCCATGGAGCTGTTGGAGTGGGTTCAGAGGAGGGCCACAAAAATGATCAGAGGGGCGGCACACCACTCCTGTGAAAGGCTGAGAGAGCTGGCGGTTGTTCCACCTGGAGAAGGCTTTGGGGAGACCTTATTGCAGCCTTTCAGTACTTAAGAGGAGGCTTTTAAGAAAGATGCATACAGGCATCTTGGTAGGGCCTGTTGTGATAGGACAAGGGGTAATGGTTTTCAACTAAATGGCTAGATTCAGACTACATACAAGGAAAAAATTTCTTACAGTGAGGATGATGAAACACTGACACAGGTTGCCCAGAGAGAGGTGGTAGATGTACCATCGCTGGAAACATTCAAGGTCAGGTTGGATGGGGCTTTGAGCAACCTGATCTACTTGAAGATGTCCCTGCTTATTGCAAGGGGGTTGAACTAGGTGGCTGTTAAACATCTCTTCCAACCAAATCATTCTGTAATTAGATGAATACTGCTTGTTGTTCAGTCATCATAGCTAACACATTTTTTTCTCAATTCCCTGGGCCATGTAGTGTAAACTGTGGTTTACCTGTGTCTGGAAAGGGTTACCAACAGCCAAAGGTGTGAAGACATAGCCCTGTGGTTTGTCATGCTTATATAGGTTTTGGAAGAGGGCAGTGCCTCGGGTTGCTTGCAGCACAGAGTTACGTTGTAATATGTGGAAGCACTGCACATGAGGTGGACAGCAAAGGCAAATGTATTGTTTTATTGTCAGTGTTTCACTGCAGTATCATAACTCCTTTGGATGGATCCAGTTACTGTGTAATAATTAACATGTGTGTTTAGTGTGTCCTGACGTAAACCACCACATTTAGCTGTTAAGACATTTTTATTTGAGAGAACAGATTTTGTTTTTTTCCCTTGTAGGAAAAAAACTGTAGTCTAGCATAAAACTCAAGCACTAAAACATGAGGAAAACAAAAGTAGACATTTGAAACCAGTAGCTTGATTGAGTGCAGTGTACATGAAGCAAGCCTTAATTTTCTTCCTCAAAATAGATTATACCTGCTGATCACATTACAGTATTTCTACAAATCTGTGACAGGTATGGTGACTGAATGAAAGAAGCAGCTTTGATACATCATCTTTCACTGATTAGTACAAGTGTGTAAATACATGCTTAGGTAAGCAGTATCTTAAAAGGTAGGCATTTGCAAACACCTAACAGGCTTTTTACATGAGTCAGAAGGTTAATTTACCTTCATGGCTGCAGGACACTTAACTGGAGTTGTCCAAAATACCTAATACTTTAAAGTTCAGGAAAAACTACTTGATGGCCTATCTGTGGCCTAAGGAGACTGTTTAGTAGTGAGTGACTTCAAGCCTTAGATAATAATTGGGGAAGAATTCATAAATTAGATTTTGTTTTCAGGGAAATAATCTTTTAAAATAAATGTAAATCCAGGCTTAGAACAAACTTTTGTAAAATAAGTGCATGAGAATGATAATGCTACCAACAAATTTTTGTTAAAATGAGTAGTAATTTGACCCTGCCTGAAGACTTGCGGATGGCAGCAAGCTGCTCTTAGCTTTGTTGTGGAAAAGCAACTGTCTGGCTGGGGACTGATTCTAAAGCTTTTGGCAGGTGCTGGGATGGCATGTTTAATAAGAGTATCAATAGCATCCTTCATCTGCTGAGGAAGAAAAGTTGTCTTCCTATTTTGGTGTAGTTGCAGAGAAGGAGGTCATGTTGTGTTCTGTATCCTTGTGTGGCTGGTGATTTAATCACCTACATCAGGTATAAGGTGATGTAAAAGAGGTTTGATTCAGCAGGCCTCCTTTGTGGGGTCATGAAGGCTGGTGAAACAGACACTGCTTTTTGTATGTACTACTGAGCATGCTGCTGAGATGCAGCTTCACTGTGTTAATGTTTGTTTTGCTTCTTTTGGACAAAACATCCAAACTGAAAGGATTAGCTTGTTAAAGAAATGGATAAAGAAACATAGAAATAAAATCTGAGAGGAAGAGAGGGAACTGAGGGCACCAATGAAGGAAAATGGGAAAGGTAAAACAAAGTTCTGTACCATCTTTAACAGAAGAATAAAGCTAAGCCAGGAAGCATGAGTGGCATGTGAAATGGATAACATTTTAATTATGCTGAACAATACAGCTACCAGGGGCACAAGTACTTGCTAGTTTGATTACACTGTCAAGATAAACTCACTTTCATGTGCTTGTCTGGTCAAATAGCTAGGTATCTGCACCTCAATTGCATTGTGTAATGAAAAAAGCTTACAAATATTCGAGGGAAAAAACTTTAGAAGATAGACTTAGTTTGTAGTAGTAATTTTATAAGAGATTGCTCGTCTTTGTTTTACATCTATTGGAAGTCTTTCAGGAAGCAAGAAGCATGAATGTTTGTATACAGGCAGTTTGTATTAAAACATTATTTCAAATGTATCAGTACAGAAATGCTTCTACAGGAACATCCTTTATCTCCTCAGGATAGTGTTATGCAGTCTTTCTTGAGAATACACATTCTGATATACAGTAAGGGTGTCGCTTGAGCTGTTGTATGCGGTGCTGTAAAAGCGTGGACTATAGGTCAATAGTCTGCATAAGCAACTATATAAGGCAAAATGTGTAGACTTAAAATTGCTATGCAAAGCTCCAAAAATTACGGGAGAGGTGAAAGAGCTGAAAACTGTTTACATAAAATGAACAGTTGGACAGTTTGTGCAAGTCTTTGCATATCAAGGCTTCATGTCATTCCAGTGAGTTATACTGAATGTCATGTTGACCTTACCAAAAAACACAGCCATTCCCTAAAGAGTCATAATGATAAAGAAAGCCATCAGCTGTGTATAGCATATGAACCCCCTGCATTCAACGTTATACCAGGGAAGGAAGGGGAAACAGATCAATAAATAAAAGCATTTTTTCCCAAATTTCTCAATTCTTCAGTGTGTGGTAAACTTGTACTTGAAGCCTTCTCTTAGAGAAATTGCTTTTCTTATTCGATTAAGCACGAGACATTATTTGGGAAGGGAACACACTGCTCTGCAAGTGGTTACAATCACATTTTTGGAAGATTGATGTACTTGACATAATCAAGATACGCTAAACTACCTAGTATTTAAAATGTGGAACAAAGTGCACTTAATTAGGCTTGTATTGTGAAACTTTTTTTCCTCATTAAGACTGATTCTGTGCTTTAGGTGAAGGCACTGAAAGAGAAGATTGAATCAGAAAAGGGGAAAGATGCATTTCCGGTAGCTGGTCAGAAACTAATCTATGCAGGTAATGGATACTCTGAAGATATTGTATCTGAATATGTCTTATTTTTCGTGTTCTTTGACTTTGATGTGAATATTAAGTCTTGAAAGATTGTAAGTACCGAAGTGCAAACAGGTTAACAACCAACCAACAAAAAAAACCAAAACAACAACAAAAAAACTCCCAACAACAAACCTGATTATCAAAGGGAACTGTTAATTGTGAATCAGAATTTTTCAGGTTTTAGTACATGTGTGTCTTTGTTCTTACAGCATGGTATGTTAACACCTTTAGTCCTGGGTGGGGTATGCTAGGTGAAGTAGAAGTAGCCTTTGTTACAAGAAATAAGTATTTAAGCATATCACCTCTCATTTTCTGGGTTAAATCTTGGTTTTGTTCAGTTTATGCTGTGTACAGATGAAGTGATCCTCTACATACCTCAGAATTAAAAATAAGATCAATTCTTTCGTATTATCAACAGAAACCTACTACCAAATCCTTGATATACAAAGGTACTTTCAATATTTTTAAGCTCTTGTCATTAGAAGCATGCACTATGTGCTAGGAAAAAGCAGGCTAGCATCATACTAAGATATGAAGTTACTTTATTTGAACTTACATAGTTTGAATTCTATTTTGGCCATATTTTTGTAGTGTTTTCTACCTGGCTGGTTCATTCTGGCACTAATACACTGTCATGGTTTAATCCCAGTCGGTGACTAAGTACCACACAGCTGCTCACTTACCTTCCCCCTCCTTCACTGGAGGAGAATCAGAAGAAAAGATAAGGAAACTCATGGGTTGATATAAGAACAAATTAATAATTGAAAAATGAAGTTTTCAAAGGAGATACTACTACTATTACTACTAGTAATGTGTAATAGTTAGTAATAATGCTACCACTACTATTAGTAATAATCTGACTCCAGGCCAACTTACATATATACCGAGCATGATGTTTTATGGAATGAAATACCCCTGTGGTCAGTTTGGGTCAGCTGTCCTGACTATGTCCCCTCCCATCTTGTAGAGAAGAAGCTGGGAACACAGGTACCGTGTCAGAAACTGAAAAAGTCCTTGGCTTGATAGAAATATTCATTAGCAACAACCAATATCATTGGTGTTGTCCATATTATTCTCAGCACAGATCAAAACCATAGCCTAATGGTAGCTGCTGTAAAGAAAATCAATTATCCCAACTAAAACCAGCACCAGCACTTAGACAGATCCAGCTTTGTCCTCACTTCCTATGAGACCTTAAAAAGTTTTATTCCAATTGCCCCTCTAGTGCTTTTCCCTCTCAAACTTTGCTTCAGACAAACTTTGGTCTTTTCACTTCTTCAATGTACTGCTTTGTAAACCGTATTGTTTTTCCACTTCTAATAAGCTAAAGCCACTGATCACAGTAGAAAGATGCTAATGGAAGGAGAAGTCAGGGGTCCCTCTGTGTTTGTACAGACACCTCAAGACTGTTTCTTATCAAGTCTTAATATCCGTTGTACTTCAGTGAAGGGAATGCACATCAAGAGCATGATGCCATCCAGAGGGACCTGGACAGGCTGGAGAGGTAGGCCTGTGCCAACCTCATGAAGTTCAACAAGGCCAAGTGCAAGGTCCTGCACCTGGGTTGGGACAATCCCAAGCACAAGCACAGGCTGGGTGGAGAATGGATCGAGAGCAGCCCTGAACAGAAGGACGTGGGTGTGCTGGTGGATGAAAAGTTGGACATGAGCAAGCAGTGTGCACTGGCAGTCCCCACTGCTGAGGTCTTGTAGACATGGTCCAAATCTACGTTACCACTACCATCTCTATGAGACATGAACAGTGGTAATAAAACAAAAAAATGTTGTTGGGTTTGTCTGGTATTTTTCATCCTTTGTCAAGGTAGCAGGGTATGGAGTGGTACTAGATTTTTATAATGTTTTAGTCTTCCTTTAAGGACAAATTTTCAAAATTGAAATGTTTCAAACTTATCTAATGCAGCTAAACTTAGTCTGTGGCAGGGAACTGTAGATGATGTACTACATCTGAAGATCAAGGAAGGAATTTTCTTACTGCATCTAGAGTGCATAAGCAGGCATAAGTTACACAGTTAGGCTTATTATATGCTAAAGCCTTTCCTCTAGATTACTTGCATCTGTATTAAAGGTCCAATAAATCATTCTCTAAGTTTAATGTTGCTGTTTTAAATTATTTGAAGCATCTTCAATGCTTAATGGCAACAGCCTTCAAGCTAAGTAATACTGTGGACGTCATAGGAGAAGATTTACTTGCAGCTCTACTGCCAAAGCTTAATATCCAAAATACTTTTGTAGGGTTATTAACATTAATAAATCTGCATAAAGTGTGTTTTTAATGTTTTGGGTTGGCTTGTTTCTTTTTTTTAACTTGATTTAGATGAGGGAATTCCAAGATCATCTCATGATCTGTTAAATAACTTCTTGATTTGTATCTCTCTAACTTGCCAGGTAAAATCCTTAATGATGATACTGCTCTTAAAGAATACAAAATAGATGAGAAGAACTTTGTGGTGGTTATGGTGACAAAAGTGAGTAGTCCTTACTTTTGAATAGTAAATTGCATTAATTTCATTCTTTTTTTCATTGTGATGAAAGATTGTGTATGCCTATCTTAAAACCAATGCAGTTTGATCATGTGAAACTGTTGGTCAAGAGTAAAAATAAATGCTTGTGCAAATAGAAACAAAATAGTGCTTCATGGTCTTAGTTTGACAATTGTGCCGGTTGGTGGTGATGTTTGTGCTGAATGTTTAAATCATAGAAAAATATTCCCAGCAGCTGATTTTACTGCTGCTTCTTTCTTCTCTCTGCTATTTTTTTGATGATATGATTAAAAGGAATAAGGGAACATAGGTAATTTTTTACTAAATCCTCTGTACAGAACTATTCCTGTCTTGCCATTTTGCTTTTCAGAACTCATGGTTGTTTCTTTTGTCAAGCTCAACAGCTTAGAACAGTCGAGAGAGGATATGTATGCCTCTGGAGAAGAGGTAATTTATCAGTACAACAAAACAAGTGCAGACGGAATTTCAGAGTACAGCTTTCATTTTGTTTATAGCAGAAGAAACACAGACCTCAATGAAGAACTGCTGAATGCAATACCTTCTTATTTTAAAGGACCTGTGTTCCAGAGTTGTGCGTTTCTTCAGTGTTACAGTCTTTTTGCTAAGTCTTTAAACCAGTTTCCTTCATTCTTTTCTGGAGAGTATATGCTCATTCATGTAAGCACAGCTTTGTGTAATGCTTGGATGAGTTCCAGTGTTTCTCTTTGAATGTGTCTTAAAATGTTCTTTATTTTACCTGTCATGTTGGAAGCTATTCATTCTCAACCTCTCCTTTCCTTGACAAAAGGGATAAATAAATTTTTCCTAGTTTAAGCAGACATTGTCCAAAAGTGATTCACCTTGAATAAGTAGTTGTGTTTTGTTAAATTTCAGCTTTTTCCTTTGGTAAGGCATAGATGGGGTGATTGTCAATCCTTAAGGATATTCATAGGTGAGGGATTACAGTGATGCAGCTTTCAAAAATCTGATTCCATACCTTTTCTGGAAGTTACATGCTTCTGAAAAGTGTGATCTCTATATAATAGGATTAACACTGCATCCAAACAGAATTCCAGTTTCCAGTAGAGCTGTGAAGATTAACTCACAATTACATGAACATGTTACCCCTCTTAAGTTTGTTGCTGTGCTTTTGTAGTTCTTGATTCTGCTGGATTTTTGGTGCTCGCTACAAAACTCTGAAATATTATTTATGTAGTGCTTTGAATGTAGATAGTTCATAAATAGAACTGTTTTATTTTCTTTTTAAAAATGTGCTTTTGTAAAATACAAGATTGCTTTCATGTTTAGAGTATTATGATCTGTAAATATTTAGATCTTATTTTTGCATTTCACTTCACACTCAAATAGTGTGACGGCTTAGGAGTCTAAAAAATACCTTAGTGACATCATCAGTTGCCTGTTTAAACACAATAAAAGACATTACAGATTTAATGTCTTGCAGTGCTTTAATGTCATGAATGATGTTGAGGCAGCAATGTCAAACACAAATGGTCTTAACAACTTAATGTGTTAACTGTAGAAGCCGTGGATTTGGGTGCTGTGTCTGAATTCTGGTGTCTTCCTATAGGCTAAAGCAGCAGCTGGAGCAACTCAGCAGTCAAATGTTACTACCACTATTAACTCGACAACTGCTGCTCCCCCACCAGTCACTGCACCAACCCCTCCTGCTGACCCTGTACCAGCTCCTCCTGTCCCTCCACCACCAGCACCAGATGCAATTCCTTCTGAATCTGCACCTGTGAGTGCTTCTAAAGAAGAGAGTCCAGCAGAAAAAACACCCGAGACACCAGCTGCTGTCAGCCCATTATCAACTGACAGGTATGAGTAAACCTCCAAAAATTGCTTCTGTATCCATTCCTGTTGCTTCTGGTTTTGATTTTAAGTTGAATTTTTCCATTACAGTGTTAGTCTGATAACTGCTCTGTTCTATATTTTTTTTAACTGTATCTTCAGTCTCTGGCTCAGGTGTAACTATTGATGGTAAGAAGTGTCATCGTCCCCCCCTTGTCCTTCACCCTCTTACACCTTCTGCTGTGGGAACTGTGGTCTTGGGACTAATCTATAGAGTGGAGAGTTAAATGACACAGGACCACAGGACTTGTGCTCCCAGTGGGCATTTCAGAGTTACTGTGGCACGTTTCTTTTCAGGTTGAGGATATTCACTTCCATGGCCATCCGTTTTTCACAAAGCTCTTAAAGACTTCAGAGTGATGTGTCCAGTACTGTTCACAGACCTCTGATTGTGCTTTGAATCATATTGGTTAATTTGAACTGTAAGTTCTTTATTGCTTTAAGAGTCTCTTTAATTTCTGGAAAGAGCTTTTTCTACCAAAATGTATGGTATAATAAAGCTCTTATTCATGTAATGTCTTAAAGCTATAAGCTTATTTGTTCTGAATGCTCCTTGGCCTATCTGCACATAGTGCTTTTAACCTCAATTCTCCGAATTTAACAAAATCGAACGGAAGTTAGATTTCATCCCTCTTGTATACTGTGGCCTTTTTTTGCTCACTTTAAGTTGCTTAAGTATAGAATGTCATAAAAATGTTAGCTGTAATTTAATGGCTCTTGAAGTACTGCATAGTATCAAAGCTTCATTTTTCACACACGAGATTTCAGTTATTCATATGTTATTTATTTGAATACTGGTGCACAAGACACTTATTTTTGACATGGTTGTATGTAAACAACATTAAATACTTATTTGATAATAAGGAGACAAAACTTGAAATGGCCTAATACATTGAAAATGCGATCACAAATTTCTTGCATTAAATACTATAATTGATGTAATTTTGCAATCCTGAGAAATAGACATCTTTAAATGGAATGCAAATGAAGCTTCATTTATCAGTCAAATATCTTTGGGGTTTTTTTTTTAATGTTAATGGATGGGGTTTTTGCTGCTTAGTTTGTCTGATAGGTTCAAAGATTAGATTAAATCTTCGATACTGAAACGGTGCTTTCCAGGTTTTCCACATACAGATCGCAGTGTTTTAGAACAGCAGTAAGGGGATGTCTGTGTACATACTTAACAGGAAGTGAAGGAGTAATTTAACAAATACATTTCCGTAAGTACTGATTGTATCTGATTTGCTTTAGAAGTTAAATTACTAAGGCTGGTGAAAATTTATTGAGCCACGTCCAGGCAAGCTGGTGCCCTGTTTTGCCTTTGATCATTGTTAGTTGTATATTGTACTGGTGATAGATACTAGTAAAGGATTCTTGTTGGAACAATTTTTTTTCTTACTAAAAAAGATGCATTTCTGTAAATGCCTTGTTAGACTTTTTTTTTTTTTTTTTGTAACTGGCATCTTCTGAAAACTGATTCAGATTAAACTGATGACCTTTCATTTGCGGATAGAAGTTGCTGACTCTGGTAGCCTGATAGATGCAAGGCTGCTGCAGCTCCATGTCCCCAGGTCTATCAAGTATCGAGATTGAACATGTATTCCCAGTACATATGCAGAGTATGTATATACCGATATATGGCTGGCTGCTGAAGTCAACATAGGCAGGAAAAAAACAATACTCAAGCAACCATACAACACCAGCAGCTGCATCCTGTTCCTCTCTGACTATTCAGGGCAAAGCCGACTAGTGCAGAATACATATGTATAAACATAGAGATGAAGAAATTACTCCAGTAGCTAGCCTTAGGCATTCTATTCTGATAACTGGTGCCTAGATCTCAGATTCTTGCAATTGCCTAATTCATGGACATACCAACAGGTGTCTCCACTATTTTGTTGAGGCCTGTGACCTTACCAGTAGCTGACCCCCAGACATCACAGCCTTTCCAGGAGCTCCCCCTTCAGACCCTCTGAACTCTCCAGCAGCTGACTGACTTAACCTGGCTTTCAAGAATCTTACCCTACTTGCCGTAGTCAAGCCTGAGGCTTGCTGGTGATTACACATATACCAGCATATGCATCCACACAGAATGTGCATGCGCTCTAGTCTGTTCATTTGCCAGCACTGAGAAATCCACAGTGTCTGGTCTTTGCAGTTGCTGGCTCCAGAGACACGTGTATCCCTGTGACTCATGGTTCCTTGTCCATTTGTGGGCACTTAGACTTCCGTATGCACACATGCATGTAGAACAGAGAGGTCCCCCAGCATGAGGAATAGTTAGAAATTAAATCTATTTAGAAGGCAGGATGAACTGGTGATCGGGTATAGGGCATGGCCATGCAAGTGCTGTTCACATGCGACTGGCCCTTTTTCTCCTTTTGCTGTCTTTACCCATGCTTTTAATTTGCCGAGTGCCTTGATACTTCCCTTTCCCTGCCATTGGTTCTTCCCCTGAATATCCCATCATAAATCTTGCACAATCCCCAAACACTTTTTTCTGGTACTCCATGATGAGTCACACCACCCCCTAGGTAGTAATGCCTTTTATCTGTAAGGAGACCTGGAGAACCTCTGCTGTTGACCTGACCTATCAAGGATGTCACCCTGAGACCAAGGGGCTGATGCTTTAAGTTGCAGCTCTGGGAGGAGCCTGGAGAGGGTCACCCTTGGCTTTGACTGTTAACTGGGGTTCCTCTGCCTGGTCTTGTGCCTCTGTTCCTTGGTGTTCATGGAGGTGAGCCTTTAATCCTGTAATTTAACAGCTTTGATAACTTGAGATGGCATAATTCCAAATGTTAGTAATCTATATTCCTGGCAAAGTTGGATACTGAGATTTTAATAAGTACTCACATCCTTGGGTCCTCACTGAGGTCAAAACAGTGACTGTGGGAAAGCAGTTAGTGAGACTGCTGTATGCTTTGGAAAATCCACCTTGCTTTCCCACCCTTTAAGATAAGCAAGCAGATGGCTAATCCCTTAGCACATGGGCAAGAGCCAAACTACTGGGGGGTAGTATGGGAGGTTGGCTTTGTGTTAAAAATGGTAGCATTGTAAATTTGTAAAATGTGGTCTCACTGTAAGACCAAAAGAGAGCTCTTTGGAAAGTTCTGCTGGTTTTTAGAAACAAAAGGGGCTATTAGAGTTACAGCTGCTGCTACTTTTTTTTTGAAAAAACAGGAAGTTTTCCAAAGTTTTGTAATTACCATTGCACTTGTCTTCATCTTACAGTACAACAGGTGATACATCTCGATCAAATCTTTTTGAGGATGCTATAAGTGCACTTGGTAAGTGGAGTGTTTTTTTAATGTAGACATTATTTTGGTGCAGCAGAAACAAATGACGGATTAGCAGATGTTGACATTCTCTTCTGTATCTGTCATTGTTAAAGTTATAATCAAAGTACTCTTCTCTAAGACCTGAAGTTGGTGTCTTAGAACTAGCATCAAGAACTTCTTTACTGAAGAATATTTTACTTCATATATTTTTATTATGTAGAAGGAAGATCCTTGATTCCTTTTTTTCCCCATTTGACTTAATTTCTCTTCTAACAATTAAGTGGCTTGAATCTAAGACTTTACTTAAATATGTATACGCTTTTCTTTTCACCTTTGCTTCCCAATGTGCACATCTGATAAAATGGCTGCCTTTATTATTCACTTGTTCCAGCTTTGACGGTTGCTGTCTTTTGACACATTTAGATTAGATAAACTCACCAAGTATGCTGCTGTCTGGGCTGAGGAGTGAATGCTTTCATATACTTAGAGTCAATTCACTTTTATTTTGATGATTTAAAGTCTTTGTTTCTCAGTTGAATAAACAGGATAAAAACAATAGAAAGTCTGCCCCTTGTTTATACTGATTCTGGTAGCTAGGAAATTACTAGGCAAACCCACAATTCCTTACTCCTACTTAATTTTTTTGAAATTTTTTTTTATATTAGGTTGTAGCAAATTAAGGCAAAGAAATAAGGGATAGGTGAGGGTTTTATCTTTTCTGTAAACATTAAGCTGCAAGTTGATTAAAACTTAGAGTTTTAACTTAGATTTTTGTGTAGGTGTGTGGGTATATTGGAGGCAGATTTTGTGATTAAGCAGCCCAAGGTGATGTAGGAGCAGTAGTAATGTTTTTCCTATATGGGTGGTATCCACCAGGTTTAGTCTGTCTAACTGCAGTGTAGGTCTTAGGACATACTGTTTTAGGCTGAACAAATGTATGAGCTGATAATACTGTAGGAGACAATCAGCCGAGTTCTGTTACATTTTTAAAGTGGCTGCTGCTACCACAGGTGGTGCAGGCTTCATTAACCATTCATTGTAACTTAGTGGCCGATGTGATCATCACAAATACTCAGGTTAACAGTAATGACAACCGAGTTTAATTAGGCTGGTTGTCTTGATTCAGCTATCTTCAGAATTGAAGAAAACCCATCTCCTTTCAGTGTAGCAGGAGAGCACCACCTCACTATCCATCTTGTATGCAAGTTCTTTGGTATCTGATACATTAAGCCCACAGGTCCCTAACAGTTTGGAAATAACAGGCATTGAGTGACATTTCCTGGGTAAGCATGCTGCACAGGTTATAAGCCAAAAAAAGGCATAAGGAATGAACTCTCTGCTGTGTATGGTTTTTTCTTTTTCTTTTTTTTTTTCCCCAGAAACTGACTTAAAATTTGCTTGCAGAAATTCATGTAGTGTGTTTTTTACATCCTAAGTATGATCCCTAGGCATGTTCTTACTGTGGTGTCTCAATTCACATTGTCTGAAGCTAATGGACTTCACTTTAAAAACAGGGATTGGTTTCTACTGAATTGCTTTTGTTATCAGTTAGATAAGCTGACTGAAGACCAATGTGGCTTTCTGTGCTACATGAAGATCTGCACATCTTGCAGATCCTGTGAAAGGTTCCTGTGCAACCATATCTTTAATTGGAGCGGCCTAAGCTTTCTTTAGGGCTTGGGACAAGAATTGTTGTGGGGAGTGTGATGAACTGGATTTGAAAGGTATTCCAGCTTTAAAATTTTATTTGAAAGACAAAAGCAAAAAGCAGAATTAGTTTAGCATTGACCTCATAAACATTCTCAGTAGCACTGTGTAGAGGTAGGCCTGACGCTGTATCATGACTTTGCTTATGTGCAATTCCTGAACTACAACTCTTGGTCTTGCATGTGCCTTAAAATGCAGTAATTGTCTTTCCTTCTTCGGCGTTTAATGATGGCTTATGTAGCAATCTGTCCAGAGCAAATCTACTTCCTTGCATCTTTTTTCTTTACCAAATATCTCATACTGCTCTAGTCTATACCTAGCTTACATGGAAAAAGCACTACAGAAATGTATTAAGTAGTGACTAATTAGATCAAAAGGGGGTGGGTCTGCTGTTTACCTTGGTGAGCTTGTTAGCAATGGTAAACTATTGCTGTTTGAGAAAGAACATGAGCAGTAAGTTTAGCAAAATCACTGTGTTGGGACAATTAATGGCTTGGCTTTTTTGCTCCTCTGAAGATATGTAGAGAAATATGTATCTTTAAAGTTTAGATGATTTTATTTAAACAACTTTGAAAAGAAGGTAGATCTAAAATGATTGATCTTTCAGTTGTGTATGAAGACATGAACTTTCCATTCCTTTAACTCAGACTGGCACTATTATTTTGAAGTCTGAACTTCAGATAAATACTCAAATTAGTCAAGGGTTATAAATCCATTATTTACTTTTATGCACAAATATTCTCTGGCTAGGGTTATTTTATTATTTTTTCTTTACTTCTTTTTCTTGCCCTCAGTCAGATATCCACTGATTATTTAGAAGCATTCTTTAACAATCAAGAAATGTGGTTGTGTTAATGTTGGCTTGAGTTAAACACCTTCACATTAAGGGAATAAAACTTGATATTTTCATTGGTTCTTCTAATAGTGACTTCCGTGTCTTAACAGAGTAGCTCTAGTGTCTTAACAGAGCAGTACTTTCTCCTCTGCTTTTTTAAATCTGCTTTTAATGGTGACTGTTAATTATTTACATCTGCCACAAACTTGATAGTATTAGAGTCTAAAATAGAATCACAGAATCACAGAA